CATCTCTTTGAGACTCTCCTTTCAATGTTTTTGAGTGTATGCTCAGAGTGGAATTGCTGAATCATAAGATAATTCTATTTTTAATTTTTTGAGGAACCACTATACTGTTTTCCATAGCAGCTGTACCATTTCCTTCCAGTGATGCATAAGCGTTCTAGTTTTTGTACGTCCTCTCCAATAGTTTACTTTATTTTTCTTTCTTTCTTCCTTTTTAAATAATAGCCATCCTAATGAGTGTGAAGTGCTATATCATTGTGGTTATTATTTGCATTTCTCTAATGGTTAGTGATGGTGAGTATCTTTTCACATGCTTGTTGATCACCTGTATATCTCCTTTAGAGACATATCTATTCAGTTCCTTTGCCAGTTTTTGAGTCAGGTTGTTTGTTTTTTGATTATTGAGTTGTAGGAGTTTTTAAAGTATATTCTGGATATTAACTCCTTAGTAGATATATGATTTGTGGATATTTCCTCCCATTCTGTATGTTGCCTTTTCACTGTCTTGATTGTGTCTTTTTAAATTTTTTTTTGAGGAAGATTAGCCCTGAGCTAACATCTGATGCCAATTCTCTTTTTGCTAAGGAAAATTGGCCCTGAGCTAACATCTGTGCCCCATCTCCCTCCATTTTATCTGTGGGATGCCTGCTACAGAATGGCCCAATAAGTAGTGCATAGATCTGTGCCCAGGATCCAAACCAGCAAACCTCGGGCTGCCAAAGTGGAGCATGGGAACTTGACTGTTATGCCACCAAGCTGGCCCTTGATTGTGTCTTTTGATGCACAGAACTCCTTGGTGATTTTTTGAAAACTCACATCTTATCAAATTACTCTATGTGGCTCAAAGCTTAAATTTCACATTGTTGGCATTGTATGCAATCTGGCTCCTAATTAACTCTCTGGGTTAAGTTTTTAAAAAAAAATACTACATATATACACATAACACACACAGTCTTCCCCTTTTTCCTTCCCAGCAATTTAAACTGTAGCCAGGCAAAAATATTTGCAGTTCAGAAAGTTTCAAGATTCATCTTATTCTCTCTGAATGCCCTCCACATTCACCTAGGGAACCTCTATTTACTTTTCCAAAGGCATCTCAAACATCTCTTTTATGAAGCCTTTTCTAATCACCCTCTACTTCTCCGGGTGGAATGGAATTGAGCACTGAACCCTGACTGTTCTTCTGTCATAGCACCTGAAGCATTTTAGTTTGCCTGTTTGTTTACCTGTCTGTTTTTCTTTACTGGACTGACAGTTCCTTGTGAGCAGTCTTCATTATTGATCTTTTTTATCTTTAATCTAACTGTAGTCCCTGATATGTGGTATGTAATTAAATGCTCAATAAATGTTTGTTAAATGAATGTATGATTAGTGAGTGAATGAATAAGTGAATTCCTGTTAAGTCAGTGTTATTGGATCCCCAGAGTTACACTACAATAGACCCTAATTCTCATTGCCTGTGTTGCTGTACTGGTAACTATTTCCAAAGTGGTTTCTGGCAAAAAATAGTGCTCATTTTCAAGCTTCTGCTTGGCAGTCCCCATTCTTTCCTCCCAATGCCTAGCTACTTTGTGGCAGATCTTTGTTACTGGGTAGACTTTTTATTATGGCTTATAGTACCATACATATCCAACTTTTTAAACTTAACGACACCTTTACCCTAGAAAGGTTATTTCTGATTTGCACGTCTTTTGAAAACACTGTAAGGATGTACGTCAGATGGAATCACTCATGTCATTCCAGATATATTTGCTCTCATTGTTATTGGGGGTAAACCAAAGAGCCTGGGAAATAATCCTTTGGTTGGCATTTAAAACCAAACCAAAATAAAAACTGCTATCTTTCCACCTCTTCCATTAAAACTGTGGCTCTTGTTATGAATTCTGGTATTAAATGACTTCATTGAAGTCTTATAGTTTATGGTGTCCCCTGGCAGGAAAATCTTGAAAATATTTTACTGTTATAGCAAATTTCACACTAAGCCATATTTCAAAAAGTCATTAGTAAAAGTTCTGGAAAAAGAACAGTCACCATTAAGTGATATGCTACCAAAAGATGGATTGCTACTATTTTAGATGATTTAGTTGTGCCAATTATATGGGCTTTTTATGAGTTATGCCCTACATGATTTCCAGTAAAACTTTGATTTTAAATGTAAACAACATTTATTTAAACATTTAATTCACTCCTAATGTAAATACTAAGTTGTTCTGTGTTCTTGTAAGTTTTTTTCTTTAAATGTCAGCAATTGTCCATATATAGGCATATTCTGCATTGAATTCAATGAAATAATTTTCATCCCCTCTTTCCATGATAGTGTTTCTGTTTCCTGAGTGATGAAAAAGTAATTAGTTATGAAATGAGACACAGCCTATAATAGATTCTTCTCTAAGTGAAACATTTGAACTGTTCTGGTTCTTGCAAGAGAACCAAGCACTTATATGTAAGTTTTTATTGCTGACAAATATTGTCAACTGCAAAGAGAGCAATGGCTTACATATCTAGGAATAGTCTAGAATTCATTTGTTTGACTTTTAAATTATTTTAGAATGTTGGTATCTCTGAAGTAGGTATGTGTAGCACTTTCCAAAACATAGTAAACCATACTGTAACATCTTTGTCTTAAAATAAACTGTAAACTCTCCACTAGTTCCTTAGGCCACTGTGAGGTAAGTGTTGCTGTTCAGGGCTTTCTTGGTTCCTAATCTTCACTGATTTGTGGTAGTAATAGACTACAGTAATCTCTCAGATGCAAAGAGTCTAATAAACAAAACTGCCTTTATTTCTCTATTCTGGCAACTTTAAATCTGCTTTTACTCTGGGATAGAATCATTTGGTCTTCAAAGGTTTTCATTTTTTCAAAATCCTCAGTTATCCCTGACTCTCACTCACCAGGCTGACCAGATAAATAGCACTTTCTCTTCTTTATGGACATAAACATTAATGTTTGAAGGTAAATTAAAAATTACAATCTAACGTGATCTACAAGGTAGACGTTGGGCCATTCATTCATTCCAAAAACTTTTGTGTGTGTCTGCCGTACACCAGCTGTTTTGTGAACTGGAGATCCGAGGTAATAGATATATACACAGTCTTTGAGAAGTATCCATTTCACAGTTTTGTTAGGGAGTAGTGGGGAGGGAGACAGGTCAACAATTACAATGTATTGTGTTAAGTTCTGTGATAGAGATAAGGAGAAGTTGTCATGAGACTGCATAGAAGGGTCATTTAACCTGGAGCGTGAAATGTTGAGAAATGCTTCCAGGAGCAGGTCACATCTGAATTGAGTCTTGAGGGGTGAGTAGGAATTAGCTAGGTAAAGAGGAAGAGAAACTTGGAAATAGTCTAAGATGATATGACCAGACATATAGGAGGTACGCCTTAGAATAAATGGTGGCTGTTATTTATTGAGCACCTACTTTGTGCCAGACTCTGTATTAGGGGCTTTAAACAACTGACCTCACAGTAACCTAAGGGGCAGCTGCCATTATCCTCAATTTGCAAGTGAGGAAACTGAGTCATAAGTCTCCTGAGGTTATGATAGGGTTAGTGAGAGGCAAAGCTAGATTTAAAAACCCTAGCTTTTCTGGCTTTTTGTCTGTGCTGTTTCCTCCCAGGAAAGAATAGTTATCATGCTGTTGAAAGGTCGGGTGTGCAGGTAAAGTTCTGAAAAGTATCCACTGGTACTGTAGGGACTTGTTTATTCATTCGGGTCATAATTACTGAGAGTGTCTTAAGTGCCAAGAACGGTGCTAGCCATTAGGAGTAAAATGACAAGTGCCAAAGTGGTAGAGGTAGAAGGGTGAAAGAAATTAGAGAAACTGCGTGAAAACTGTAGTGTGAAGAAGCTTGATTGCCAAGGAAAAGACAGTGTTATGGCAGTAAATGTAGGGGAAATCAGTGTGTGTGTGTGTTTTAATACAGGAAGTACTTTAAATGTTTATATGCTGAGGAGAAAGAGGCATAGCAGGGGAAAGATTTAAGATAATGTAGAAAGAACTGGTGATTGATTGATTCATCAGGGATCCTAAAGAGTGAGAGGAGATAGGGACCAAAGTCTGTTAGATTGCACATATTTTGTTAAGTATATTGCAAGATGATCCTAAGGTGAATTTGTAATGGCTATGGAATTTTAGTATGATTAGCTTGCTCTTGGATAATGGAGAGTTGACTAAACTATGAAACTTCTTATTCAAATGATCACTGTGACCTCTTATGTCTGATTTATGCATCCATCTTCTCTATCTCTGTTATTCTGTCCATACCCCTGACTATTGTAGCATTTATTATATTGAATTAGTCACTGATGTCTCCCTCTTAGACCATATGCTTCTTGGAGGGGAGATGAGTAGAGGCTGTGTCTGATGCCACCTAGCATCTGCTATAATCTCACTTTAATAAATGCTTGTTGAATCGATCAATCAGTGAATGACCGTTCCTTGTTTGTACCATTTTGGACAGTAGACAACTTTTTGTTTTTTAAACTTTTAAAGGTATATATATCCACCCTGTGGAGATTTTGTTGTTTATTATAAATTAAGTACATAGGTAGTTTAAAGTATGCTCAACTTCCAATGAAAAGAGAACTTTAAATATTTTGGATGCTGAGAAGACCTTACGATTTCATACAACATAAAAAGAGTTTCTTAGGTTTTATTTTTATTTTATTTCATTATTTTTTTGAGAAAGATTAGCCCTGAGCTAACATCTGCTACCAATCCTCCTCTTTTTGCTGAGGAAGACTGGCCCTGCGCTAACATCCATGCCCATACTTCCTCTACTTTATCAGCATGGCTTGATAATCGGTGGGTAGGTCCATGCCTGGGATCTGAACTGGCAAACCCTGGGCCGCCGAAGTGGAGTGTGCAAACTTAATTGCTCTGCCACCGGGCCAGCCCCAGTGATGCAATTTTTAAAAATTCTATTTCCTGTGAATGTGGTATGCAGTTTTCCCCAATTACTGTATATTACTCATCAGTGTCATGAAATTTTCTTTTTTTCAGAATCCTGTCCAAAAGATCCCCGACTCACATGAGATAACACTAAAGCATGGCACTAAAACAGTAAGTTGTAAAAATTGGATTCTTTTTTCTAAGTAACAGGGCTCTAATGGAAAAATGAACTAATAAGATACATTTGTATTAATGCTAATTACGCAGTCAACTGATATCGCAAAAGCTATAGATATTAAGCAAAATGGAGAGATTGCTTTTCTGTTCAGTCAAAATAGCCATTGCATTTCATTTAAAATAGGAACACTTATTATTGTCATTGTTATTGTTGGCTTTAAAACCTCTTTTTCTTTGATATAGGAACATTACTAGTGAAAGAAAGAAATGAAACTCAAAACAGTTTTCTTTTTTATGGTGTGGGAAAATTTCTCAGTACCCTTAGCTTTATTTTTCTTTCGGTAAAAGGCCTGAGTTCATTTTTTAGATGAATGTTGAGATAAGAAATAAACATAAAATAGTCACTGTATTGCTCTAAGATTATATTACTTAGATTTATGGATTATATTTTCATATTATATTTGTTGGTTATTTAATGATTTATAACAAATTTTTGAGATATAAGATGAATTCATTTTATCTTGTAGAACTGTTAAAAAGTAGTAGTTGAATGAGTGAAACTTGCTTATCAATGAATGAAAATATAATCACCTTGCTTTCCCTTTTCAGTGAAGCTGCCTTTTTCTAGCTATTTGACATGTAAAGTAGGAAACTACATCCTGTAATAAGGGGGAAAACATCAGTCAATAGAAATAGACTCAGAAGTGGCACAAGTAATAGAATTAATAGACACGGATGTTAAAACAGTGACATTCTTCTCACTAAATTTTTTGCTTTTGAAAATATCGTTTTCATAAAAATATGTTAAAGCATAGTAGGTTTATTGTTTTAAATGAAGTGAACAATAAATATGTTTAAACATCTTAATTTTAATTCTTACTGTGGTAAATATTGATACACATAACTCACATAAACAAATGCTTTTGGGGGTCCTCTATAGATTTTAGAAGTGTAAAGGGTTTCAAAGCCAAAATATCTGAGAACTGCTGTCTTAAGAAATCATTTTCATCTAATTCTGGATATTTTATCTACTTTTTATTAAATCAAACTTTTGATATTTTAATTCTGAAATCGTGACAAAATTTTAATAATTTTCGTGGTTTTAAGTAAATAAGGAAAGGCATTATAGACTGATAGTACTTAAAAGGAGGCTTTCCTGTCATTTAGTCCAGAGATTTTTACAACTGAGAGAGTTTATGCATATCATACATGTTTTATTTAAATATTCTTATTTTTTCAAATCAGATTTTATCTTTTAAAGAAATATAGTTTAAAAAAATGCTCTATCTTGTTTTATATATTAAAAATCAATTAGAGCTTCTAATTGTACTGTTTGGTTAATTAATGTTTTTGCATTCCTGCTTTTACCCTGCATATATCTCATCTCCTTGTAAATGTGTCAGAGATTAGGAAGGTAACTATTATGTCTGGTCTAGTTTTTTTCCAACTGGTTATTGTAAAAATATTTACACATTCACAGAAGTATAGAGAATACTAAAAGGAATCCACATATATTTATATCTGAGCCTTACCAATTATCTACGTAAGGCCAGTTTTGTTTACATTTCTAGCACCCACCCCACCCCGTCTACTCAGCTTGTGGGTCACTACTTTTTCACTTTCATCCTCCTGGATCAGTTTGATTTGAACAGTATGATGAGGTTGGAACGTTGGCTTAAAAAAATCAAGACTATTATTGTTTACAAATGCTTTTCTATGTGTATCAGCATCTTCTCAGTATTATGGACAAAAATAGCATCAATAACTATATTGGATACTAGAGTTACATAAAAGTGCTGCTGTCTTCTGATGCTCTAGTTTTAAATTTGTATGGTATTCAGGATATTCTCACTGTTCTCATTAAGTTTTTAATAAGTATTTACAGGCAGCCCTAATTTTCCATAGTACCAGTTACGGAGACCTGTGCATATTGGGACTGTGTCTTCACTTCGCTTGGTTCCAATCTGCATGAATTTCGGTTAACATGGTATAGTGCAAAGTGAGGACTACCTGTATTATAAAATAAAGTTATGAAATAGGCTAGTACTAATAACTTTGGTGAAAATCAGTTGGCCACAAGTGTAAAGCTTTATTCCTAGACTCTCAATTATATTGCACTGATCTATAAATCTATCCTCAAGCCAGTACCATGCTATCTTTAATACTGTAGCTTTGTAGTAACTTTTGAAGTCAGGAAAGTTGAAGTCCTCTAACTTTGTTGTACTCTTTCAAGATTGCTTTGGCTATTTTGGGTCCTTTGCATTTCCATGTGAATTTTAGGATCAGCTTGCCAATTTCTTCAAAAAGTCCAGCTGGGATTTTGATAGGGATTGTGTTGAATTTGTAAACCAATTCCAGGGAGTATTGCCATCTTAACAATATTAAGTCTTCTGATTCATGAGCCTGGAATGTCTTTCCATTTATTTAGATCTTTAAAATTTTTTTGAACAGCATTTTATAATTTTTAGTATACAGGTCTTGTCCTTTTCTGTAATATTTATTTCGTAAAGTATTTTATTCATTTGGATGATATCGTAAATGAAATTGTTTTCTCAGTTTCATGTTTGGATTGTTCATTGGTATTGCATAGAAATACAGTTGATTTCTGTATATTGATCTTATTTCTTGTTACCTTATTGAACTCATTTATTCTAGTAGTTTTTTAGTAGATTCCTTAGGGTTTTCTATTGAGATGACTATGTGTTTTTTGTCCTTTATTCTCTTACTATAGTGTATTACAACAATTGATTTTCAGGTGTTAAACCAACCTTATCTATATATTTTTTTGAGGAAGATTAGCCCTGAGCTAACATCTGCTGCTGATCCTGCTCTTTTTGCTGTGGAAGATTAGCCCTGAGCTAACATCTGTGCCCATCTTCCTCTATTTTATATGTGAGACACCTGCCACAGCATGGCTTGATAAGTGGTGTGTAGGTCTGTGCCCGGGATCCAAACTGGTGAGCCCTGGGCCACTGAAGCGGAGTGTACGAACTTAACTGCTACGCCACTAGGCCAGCCCCACCAACCTTGTATTTTTGTACTTATTCCTAGAATAACTCACTTTATCGTGGTGTATACTTCTTGTTGTATGTCGCTGGATTCAGTTTGTTAATATTTTGTTGAGGATTTTTGTGTTTATATTCATAAGGGATATAGGTCTATAGTTTTGTTTTCTTATGATGTCTTTGGTTTTGGTGTCAAGGCAATATTGGCCTTGTAGAATGAGTTTGGAAGCATTTACTCCTCCATTTTCTGGAAGAGTTTATGAAGGAAGGATATTAATTCTTCTTCAAATGTTTGGTAGAATTCACCAGTGAAGCCATATGGATATAGGCTTTTCTTTGTGGAAAGATTTTTGATTACTAATTCAAGCCCTTATTAAAAATCTATTAGGTTTTCTTTTTCTTCATGAGTCAGTTTTGGTAATTTGTATCTTTCTAAAAATTTGTACCTTTCCTCTAAGTTATCTAACTGGTTGGCATGCAGTTCACAGAACTCCTTTGTAATCCTTTTAGTTTCTGTTATGTTGGTAGTGAGTCCGCTCTTTCATTCCTCATTTTAGTAATTCTTTCTGTTTTTGCTTGGCCAGCTGCCTAAAGCTTTCACAATTTTCTTAGAATTTTCAAAGGACCAACTTTCGGTCCTGTTGATTTTCTTTGTTTTAAAAAATTCTCTATTTTACTGATTCCTGCTCTGATCTTTGTTATTTCCTTCCTTCTGCTTGCTTTGGGTTTTGTTTATTCTTCTTTTGGTCGGTTTTTTTTTTTTTTTTTTGGAAGATTAGCCCTGAGCTAACTGCTGCCATTCCTCCTCTTTTTGCTGAGGAAGACTGGCCCTGAGCTAACATCCATGCCCACCTTCCTCTACTTTTTTTTATATGTGGGATGCCTACCACAGTATGGCGTGCCAAGTGGTGCTGTGTCCATACCCGGGATCCGAACCGGCGAACCCTGGGCTGCCAAAGCAGAATGTGCGCACTTAATCACTGCACCACTGGGCCGGCCCCCATTCTTTTGGTAGTTTTTTAAGGTAGATGCTAAAGTTACTGAGTTGAGATCTTTCTTCCTTTTAATATAGGTGTCATAGCCATATGTTTCCTTCCAAGTATTTCTATTTTCATATATTGCTTAAATGAATAATTTACTTCTGACCACAGTAAAAATGGATGCTTTTGGGTATCTCACAGAAAGACTGAAATATTAATAAATGGGAATTGTGTAGGGAGTTCTTTCAAAGTTTTGGGCTAAAAACATCGGATGATCAATGATTTATAATGAATTGAAAGATTCTTTACTAAGTCTTCCTATGTAAACAAGGCTTGTATGGTTTTGAAACCACTTAAATTTTAAAAATATTTTACTGAAGAATTTCTAGATACAAAAAAAGCTATAAATATGCAAAAGTTTATACAGTTAATGTACTATGGGATAAATTAAATTCATAAATTGAATTACCTTATGGACTGAAGTTTAAGACTTCTTACAAGAAGAAGGAGGTGATAAAAATTAATTCTCTGAACAAAGAGGCCAAAGCTGAAAGTATTTGTGTCCCTTCTCAAATTGGAACAGATGATTATTTTTACATGATCTGACATTTCATGCAGTAAACATTAAAACAGAAAGTTTAAAACATTTTATTTATTGTTCAAAGAAATTCAGACCATCACCCAGAATAATCTGATATTAGTTTTTAGTCTTTTTATTAGCTTAAAATAATTATGCTTTTTCTTTTTAAAGATTGGCCCCTGAGCTAACAACTATTGCCAGTTTTTATCCACAAATCCCCCCAGTACATAGTTGTATGCTTTAGTTGTGAGTCCTTCTTGTTGTGGCATGTGGGACGCTGCCTCAGTGTGGCCTGACGAGTGGTGCCATGTCTGTGCCCAGGATCCAAACCTGGGCCACTGAAACCCTGGGCTGCCGAAGCAGAGTGTGTGAACTTAACCACTTGGCCATGGGGCTGGCCCCTAAAATAATTATACTTACAACTCTGTTCTAAGCCATTCTTTTAGACCAACATTTATATGAGTTCTTATTTTTTTTTTTTAAAGATTGGCATCTGAGCTAACAATTGTTGCCAATCTTCTTTTTAAAATTTTTTTCTGCTTTTTCTCCCCAAACTCCCCCAGCACATAGTTGTATATTTTAGTTGTGGGTCCTAGTTGTGGCATGTGGGACGCCGCCTCAGCATGGCCTGATGAGCAGTGCCATGTCCTCGCCCAGGATCTGAACCTGCAAAACACTGGGCCGCCGAAGCAGGGTGCACCAACTTAACCACTTGGCCGTGGGGCCAGCCCCTGAGGTCCTTTTTTATTTCAGTATGATTAAAATGCACCTGAGAGTTAACTAGACTTTCTGTGTTCTTCAAGTATTTGGAACATAGCGATTGAGAAGTAGCTGGCAGATCCTCTGGCTGGATATGTCTTCTCTACCTGGGGAGTGTTTTCTACCTCAGAGCCCTGTTTTCTCTCTTAGTCATTACCTTTCTTTTCTTTTTGGTGGATGACGAATGATGTATACAAACAGCTGCAGAGATCCTCAGCCTTCAGAATGCTGCATTGAAAACCTCATTTAGTCACTTTGCTGTAGAATTTGCTGTCTTTCTTCTGCCCTCAGATAGGAAAGAGTTATCTTTGCGGTTTATCCTGTTCTTTTTTGACAGAGGATAATTTATATCATATTTGTCAGATTGCATTTCTCTTTGTGTTGCATAGGTTTATTTTACTTTTAGTCCTCGTTCCTTTTTTTAAACAAATATTTCTTAGAGTGTCTGTTTTGTGCCCGGCGCTTTACTGGGCACAGATGTGACTCTGGGCCTCCACCCCTGTGGCTCCACACCGTGGGTCAGCGTGGAAGCCGAACTTACACTCTTGAAGGGAGGGCAGGCACAGAATAGACGAGCCACCAGTGGATTTGTAATTTCAAGTCGCACTGAAGTGGGATGAACACTGGTGGGGTCAGCCTTATCAGGAGCAGGGGCAGCTCTTTAATTGTGACAAGAGGGAAGAAGGATAGAGTGGGCATGGGGGCAAGTAAGTTTGTAGTTGGTGTTAGCAGAAGTCACTTCTTAGACTTTTAATGTGATTGTTTATTTTTGTTTTTGATTGTTTTGAGTTTTTAGTCATATTGTTCAGACATAAAGAATGACTTAGTTTATTAAAATATTTTTCTTTATTTATTTCAAAAGAAATAATACTGAAAAGTCAAATAATATAGAAGGTGCTGTCCATTCCTGCTTTTCAGAAATAGAACAGTTGGCAGTCTGTACTTCCAGTGCCTGTAAGGTAGGAGGTCAGTTAGACAAAGGAAATGGGGGTTATAATAGATTGTAAGTAGCTTTTCTCCAATTAATTAAACTTTTTTTTAAACTAGGTTTCTGCTTTGGGTCTGGATCCCTCAGGTGCCCGTTTGGTGACTGGAGGATATGACTATGATGTTAAGTTTTGGGATTTTGCTGGAATGGATGCGTCTTTTAAGGCATTTCGGTCCCTTCAGCCTTGTGAATGGTATGTATTACGCAACTTAATATCTTCATATTTGAAGACAGTGCTGTTGTCATTTGAATTACATCTATAATAATTTGTACCAAAATACAGTAAGTTTATATGACTGTATTCTGCCTCCACTACTCAAATGAAAGTAAAATGTATCTTAAATTTCTTTAAGTTTCATTAACCTATATTGTAAAGACATTTTCTGTCTTTTGTTGTTTTAAAAAAAATACTTTTATTTTGACATTGTTACCTTGCCTAGTTTATTTTAAAACACTGCAGTAAATACTGTGTAATATTATGCATGTGTGTATGACATATGTTAGGCCAAACCCAGATGCTAGTTGGTGCCGCACTGTGTGGGTGGGTATGGTCAGCTAGCATTATATCAGAAAGGGCTTTACATGTTGCTACCACAAGCCAACCTCTTATTTCTATTTTTGTCCATATTTGATCTTTTAGCATATTGGGTATCAAAAATGGATTTTTATTGGTGAAAGTGGTATCTTGTTAACTTACGTAATGTATGTTAGAAATGGGCTCTCATTGATGACGTTTTAAAGATATTTAGGATAATGTGGATTAACTGAAATTACTTAGACCCCATTTCCTAATCTTGCATGAATAGGGTGTAAGAATGTAGTTTCACCTTTAACTAAGCTCTTAGAGATGTGTTTTTTGCTAAGCCTAATATCCACCTGTAAACTCTGGATTCTGTCAACTCTGTGGAGAAAGTTCCTGTCTCTGGACTGTTGGGTGTTTGCTTCTAGTAAACCTTTCAGGAAAGTCGTGTTTGCAGCCTCTGAAAGGCTAGAGAGCTGGGATTTTTCTTAAGCCTGCAGGACAGGTCATATGAATTGTTTTTGCTCACTTGCCAATAAATGCTTAGACAATAACTGTCTGTCTGTGGAAAAGAATTGGGATTGAGACCTCAGATTTCTCTGGCAGCTATAGTTACCTAGCAAAATAACTTAAAAGTTGTATTTGACTCAGGTGGCTTTGGTCAGTTTTCTACAAATCATATCGATTTGTAAATTTTGAAGTCATAACTCTGAAGCTATCGTTAGTAAAGATTGCAGAATTTCCTAAATGAACATAGCACATCTCTGATCAATTGGACAGGGAAAAAAAAAAGAATAAAGAAACTGAGTATCTCCAGTGATGGCTGGATTTAAAATAGCTCTCATGATTTAAAGTAGTAACATGTTATCTTGAGTTAGTATGATGACATTTAAAAAATGTACTTAAAATATGTCATTATATCCCTTTTCCTCATGGGCTAGTCTCTTGATTCATATAGGGATTGTGCTCTCCTTCTACCTTTACAACTATAAGCGGACTTGTTCAGGATTATCCACTGCTCTGTTAATGATCAGCTCTGAATAGAGTATGCTTCATGAGTTGCAAGCCAGTGTTCTATTACTAAACTGTCATAATTGAAAACGCAGAAAAGCCCAAGAATAAGCTTATTTTCTCTTCCATAATTAAATCATTGCATTCTATGTATAATAGTGAACTATCAAAGGGTAGATGGGAAGAAACAGAATTCCTGACAATCCATGTAAAATTAATATAAACTCTAATACTGCAAACATTATGTGAATGTTACTATTTTAAGTCATGAGAACCAGTTAACTTTGCCATCATTTGCCCCTAATCTCCAAATAATGTGACTCTATTTTTTATAACACTGGGGTTTCTTTTTAGACTTAATGTGTTTTTTATATCTATTTATATATTCATCTGTAATTCGCTTTTTACTATGAAAACTTTCAAATATAAGGAAGAGTAGAGGAGTTAGTATAATAACCATCTACCATACTTAGATTTAACAGTTATAAACATTTTTCTGTATTTGCTTCATCTCATTGTTATTTTTGCAGTATTTAAAAATAAAGACAGACATAACTTTCACTTTGAAATGCTTCAGTATGTATCTTTCAGAAATATAGACATTTTCCTATATAAACATAGTTCCATTGTTACTTCTAATAAAATTCTTTAGAATTCCTTAATATTGCTAATAACCATTCCGTATTTAAATTTGTCCATTTGCCCTCAAAATGTGTTTTAATGCTGGTTTGTCAAACATGGATCCAATCAAATAATACACATCACCTTTATTTTGTACCTCTCTTATGTATCTTTTAATCTAGAACAGGGTCTCCTTCCTACCGTTTCCTTCCCCATGACTTCGTTAAACAGACAGGCCCAGTGTTCCTCTATGAGGTTCTTACTCCCTCATTTTCTAATTGCTTTCTTACGATGTCATTTAACTTGTTTCTTTATCGCTAGTATTTCCTCTAGAAGATCCAAAGGCTTGATCATAATCCATATTGTATCACATCAGGTGGCATATATGGTCTAGTTGTTGCCACTATTAGTGACTAGCAATTAAGATTGATCCCTAGGTTAGGTTGGTGACATCTGATTCTTCCATTGTAAAGTGAATATTATATACTTGAGATAGGCAGGAACTTCGTGGGGAGACACTTTGGCACCATGTAAATATCAAAATTCTTATCCCTTCACTTAGCAAGTTTAGCATCCATTAATTGTTCATACCTGAATCAGTTATCCCCTTGAGGGTTCCAAGTTTTTTTTTTTCTAGTTCTATTATTTCATCTACATTTATTTGCTGGCATTCTTCTAAAAGAAGAACTTTTCCTCATTAACCGATGTTATTTGGTTACCCTGAAATACATTTCCTACTAAAGAGGGAGGATAAATGCTTAGTTATTTCCCTTTAATTACTTATTTCAGCTTAAGAGCTGGTGGTGATAAATGAGTTGTTGCTGTTATTGGTGGTGATGTTTTTGGTTTTCTTTTTTTGGCATTTTCTTTTTTGAGTATCAGTATTTGCGACTTAGAAATTTTTCATGTGTTGCGGTCAGTTGCAGTCATTTTTCTTGTTGATGTTTAAATTGTTCCAGATTTGGCCAGTGGGAGTCCCTGATTGCTATGTAGTTTTGACATGACCTCATTAGTCTTTAAAAGCTTGCTTATTTTCTCACACAACATGATGTAGCCTTCCTGGTACATTCCTTTCCAAGTCCTGAAATCAGCATTTCCCCATGGAAACCTGTTTTTCTTTTTTTGGTGGGAATGGTATTTAGAGACCAAATCTGGATGCTACGCATGCTCATTGATAATGGGGTATCTTTGCTTCTTGACCTTTTCAGTGGAAAGAAGTAGAAAATAGAGATATATAAGCATATGTGTGTGTGTATGTTTAAATAAGATCATATTGATATTTCCATTTCAAGATTTTAGTAAACTTTTAATTTCAAAATATTTTTTAATTTATAGAAAAGCTGTAAAGATAGTCCAGAGTTCAGATATACCCCTAACCCAGTTTCTTCTGTTGTTAACATCTTATGTGGCCATGGTACATTTGTGACAATTAAACCAACCAATGTTGGTACATTACTGTTAACTTAACTCCAAACTTCATTTGGATTTCACTGGTTTTTCCACTAAGATCCCTTTCAAAATACTACAATACATTTAGTCTTCATGTCTGTTTAGTCTTTTCTGATTTATGATAGTTTCTCAGTCTTCCCTTGTTTTTCATGACCTTGACAGTTTTGAGGGGTACTGGTCAGATATTTTGTAGAATGTCCCTTGAGTTGTTTTTTTATGTTGTTTTTCTCATGGTTAGACTGGGACTATGTATTTTGGAGACAAAAATCTCAGAGGTGAAGTGCCTTTCTTATCATATATCACTGGTGCGTGCTATCATATTTTTAAGGTTTCTCCACTGTGAAGTTACTTTTTCCTCCCCTTTCCATATGCTGTTCTTCGGAAGCAAGTCAGTAAATGCTGCTCACTCTTGGGAGAGTGGAAAAATTAAGTTCCGCTTCCTGGAGGGGGTGGTATTTACATAAACTACTTGGAATTCTCCTGTAAAGAAGAATTGTCTCTTCTCCTTCATTTATTTATTTCATCATTTATTTCTACCAGTATCTACTATTGGCTATTTATTTTATATCTTGGGTACTATGTTATTTATTTTGTTGCTCAGATTGTTTCAGCTGTGGCCACTGAGAGCTCTTTCAGTTTGGCTCTTGTGTTCTTTTCTTTGACTCCCCTCCCCCCCTTTTTTTGAGTACTTCCTTACTTTTTGGAACTATAAGATGTTCGAGATTCATCTTATATTTTCCTTGCCCTAGTCCCAAAATCAGTCATATCTCTCATGAGAGTGGTACCAGAAAACAGGATCTGGGTTCTCACTGAGCTTGCTGCTCCTGAGGTGTCACTGCCTCTAGGCCTTCTCAGCCAACAGACCTAGGAAGTGTGTGCATCTATACTACCCTGTGTATACACTGTATCTATAATTGTTTCTGTATCCATTTGCATCTGTATTAAGCTAAACAGGAGTTCGTACTGATGTCTGACTCTAATGCAGTACACATTGGTTCATTCTAGCCTTCCTTCTTCTTCTTGCTTGGAAACATTCACTTTCCAACAGTGAGAAACTTGTCTCCCACCGCCCATCCATTTATGTATTTGTTCAATCCCAGTGTACATGTAAAACAACCTCAGAATTGTTAGTTTGTACCCCTGTTCCAATTTAACTTTAACAGTACAGAATGTTTACTTAACGTCTTTGATTTCTATACTCAAATTCAAAGATAGAACATATTTTTGAGAAAAGACTTACTGGTCAAGACCAGGAGTTGGCAAAATTTTTCTATAAAGGGCCAGTTAGTAAGTATTTGAGGCCTTACAGGCCACAAATTATCTTTGTTAAATTTATCTGTGTGTGCATGTGTGTGTCTATATTATATGATATTATGTTAAATTTATATTACATTTTTAAATAAAGAAAAAGGTACAGTGCAGGTATTTACATTTTTTTTGCATTCAATTTCATTCTCTTTATTTTGTTACCTTGTTACAGTTTTTGATTCTGACATCCAACATATTAGTGATCAGTCCTTGTTTTTTGCCAGTTGCAAATTTGCTAAATGTGCAGTAGATTCTTATTCAGTTGACACCTGTTGAATATGGCA